ATATCCTTCTACTCAATTTGTAGCCAGGGGAGCGGTATGAGTTTGACACTCTTAAGGATGTGAAGAGTAAGCCTATTCTTGGCATAACATATTTCATCATCTTTTTGGCAAAAAACTTGGGCGTACATGGTTGTCCTTCAGGAACATTTAAAGCCCGAGTAAACTGCCTTATGAGCAGCATCAAAGTGCAGGAATGTGATCTCATAGACTAGCTTGGGTATTCCTCTCGTTAAGTACATACTGTTTATGGAGTATTATTCGTGTTTTAATGGTTACTAATAGTAAATATATTTATGCCACTCTTTCGTAGTGATGAAATGTGAACTATTAACCCGACTTTTGTTCATATTTAACGCTCAAACAATATGCATTTTTGAAAGAAAAGCATTGCTGTTGAATTCTGCACCAAAATGTTCAAGTCAACTTTGTAACAAGAGCTAAATCTCAAGCAAAAGCGATCACTAATTTTTATCCATGAATATGAAAGCGATCGATCACAATTGCCATGTCTAGCTACATATTTGAAGTTTATGGAAAAGCTTCAGAGTCCACACTAAATAAGTATCAGTCTACGGTACTTATTGGTAGTCAACCCTGGAATATAGAATCATGGCTTGCAAGTAATTGTTTCATTTCCAGACTTCCAGCTCCAACTTGAAGTGTAATCTCAACCAAAACCAAGTCTCAAATGTAATCAAAATAGGGAAAGGCCAAGACATAGAATACCTTAAACACCTTCAAATGCTATAATGATGTAGAATTCAAAGGCCGAGGAGAAAATAGCTTGGAAGAATACTACTTCCTCCGTCTCCTTTTAAGAAAAATGGGTTTGTGTGTTTGATATTAATTGATAAAGTAAGAATAAAGTACGAATGATTTTGAGCCACACAAACTTTACCAAATAAGGTATGTGACAATTAAATACGGACATCTCAATATGGTAAAAACAGACTTCTTTTGGGGGACAGAGGTAGTACTTCCCCATCTACTTACTTAATAATAAAGTACAACCTTCTAATTGAAATTGAATTTTCAATTAATTGCTATTGAATCCAATTAGTAAATAGTTATTAATTGCAATTAAGTCCTAAATTCATAGTATCTACTCAATTGATTACTATTGAATCCAAATAGTGTATATTCATTAAATTAACTGCATTTAAGTCCTAAATTCATAGTATTTATATAAACTACGAAGTGGAAAAGTTCACCATCGGAATTTTGGAGGAGAACCGCCGTCTAGCCGTCACGATTTGAGGTTGTTCTCGGTGTTTTTTTTATTAATTTTTTTGAACATGTTCTTCATAAGGTTTAAATTATGTTCACAAAATTTGACCTTAAAATTAATTAGGAAGTCAGATAAACAAATTATTGAAAATACTGCATTTTGTATATAAATATTTTGGTGCAGTGTTTTTCAATAATATTTTTATTTGACTTCCCGGTCGAATTTTAATATGAAAGTTTGTGGATATAATCTAAACTTCATATGGAATATGCTTATGTATTTCATCAAGAAAAAATCGCTCGGAACTGTCTCAAATCGTGGCGTCCATACGGCAGTTCCGATCAAGATGTCCTGACTCAATTTCCAAATAAACTACCAATAATATAATCATTCCATTTAAAGAGTAAATGTATATTTGGAATGTTTTATAATATTGGATTTCATTCCATATTTTATAACGCTTTATCAAATTGGTTCTAAAAAATCATGCATAATTTGTAAAACTTTCATTCGTTATTTTGAAATACTTTATATAATTTATTCCAATAAAATACATAGATTTGAAATGCTTTGTATAGTTCATATTTCTTTTCACTATATATACTAAATACTAATACTATATGTCAAGTTCGTGCGTTGCACGGACGACCAAATAATATGTAAGAACTAATACTTAGTAATTTTATTTCATATTTATACACTATTATTCTTATGCACAATATAAATTTTCTATTCTAAACTACTAAGTTTCTTTTAATAATAATAGTTTTTTGTTTAAAAACAAAAAGAAACATATAAAAGAATAAATTGAATTTTCAAAAAATAAAGTGAGTTAGTTTTATACTCCATAGTTATTTAGTATTTAGTAGCAAGAGTATAATGATTAGTTTTCCTTATATGATACTCAATTTAAACAATAGTTTATGTTGAAAAATATGCGATACAAATGTCCGTGTATTTTAAACATGCATTAGATATAACAATGAAAACTAATTGATGTAATTTTCGTATTTATTTTAAAATTTTGCATTTTTTATTTACTGATAAAACTACTTTTCAAATCACCCTTAAAGTAGGAGAAAATTTTAATTATGAATTAAGAATTTCAAATTAAAAAATTCAAATAATACTAAAAAGGTATAATATAATACTACCTCCGTTCTTAAATAAGTGAAACATCCTAATTTCTAAATTTTACACTATTCATATGTTCTACTTTGTCTACGTTTAATTATATAATGTATTAATATATTTTCTTGAAAAAGATATTGTTAAATTTGTATCATTGTACATTTTCAAAATCTATTTTTTTTTAATTTTTTTTACTAATAAAGAATTAGACATATTAATGGTCAAACTTGTGTCTGGGCAAGTGTGAAATATTGACTGTTGCACTTATTTAAGGACAGAGGAAGTATTACCTCTGTCCCGAAACGGTTCATCATATTGACTATTCTTGATTAATGATGGCAAATTTGGGATAATAATTTTAATTATTATATTTGTATATAATTTATAAATTATATACTTTTATGAAAGTATTTTGAATAGGGGATATTTTGATAAATTTTCATATTCATATGTTCAAACTTCAAAGGAAACAAAATTGTTCACCATGAATGACGTTTATAAAGAGGTTACCTAATTTAAGTCTAACAATGTGGTATTCGGTATGTGCGGTGTTACATTATAATGTATCGTTTTAATATATTTTCTTTAATTAAATTACTATTCACAATCAACAAATGTTTATTTGAAGTAAAATGATTAATTATTCATATATTCTATTAAATATATATCTTACAAAGTATTCATCCATTAAAACTTTGTCTGCTTTCTTTTTTTGGATGTCTTAGTAACTTTGCTAGTTTCCTTTTTAAGTAAAGAATTTGTGATTCCAGTTAATTATCCCTCCTCTGCACACATCTCAATCACACACTTTTTACTTTATTAATCCCTGTGACGGTCAAGTTTGGTACTCCGTAAAATTTCAAGGGACAAAGGAGTATATGAGTAATTATATTTTCAAATGGTAGATTCTATGGTACCAGAGCCGGCTATAGCCCTAAGGCACCAAGGCAAGTGCCTAGGGCATCACTTATAGAGGGGCACATTTTAAGGGAAAAAATACTACTATATATACGTATATATGTGTAGCCACAAAATAGTATAAAGAAGCAATCTTATTAATAAAGCAAAGTGAACAAGGAAACAAGCAGCTTCTATAATCTCCAAGCGAATTAAATATGGAGTCCTAATGGAGCTGATCGATGTTTTCTAAAATTTGGAATTCTAGATATCCATCTTTGTTAGAAATTACTCTATTAGGGTTGGTTTGCAACCACTTTTAAAAAAGCACTTCTTCGCTTTTGGCTTTAAAAAGCACTAATTTTCCCAAACACTACAACTTTTATTTTTCTTGGCTTCCGCGTCAAAAGTGCTATTACTTTTTCTATTACACAAAAAGCACTTATTTTACCAAACACTACCCACTTTTACTTTTCAAAATCACTTTTTTCTCAAACACTTTCAACTTTTATTTAATCACTTCTCTCCATTTCATTAAAAAAAGCACTATTTTAAAAGCAGAAACTGTTGCAAACAGACCATTAAGTCTAGATCATTTATTTCAAATCGTAGATACATCCAATTTATTATTTATTTTCTAATCATCATGTTAATGTCCTTTAAAAAAGTTATCATGTCCATATCACAAATAGTACTACGTAGTAGTTCTGTTTATTTGTAATCTAATTTCATTTTATTTATCTGTATTCTAATTAATGTCTTTTTAGTTATTTTTTCCTTGCTAACTTGTGTTTTTAAATGGTGTACAATTGTATTAAAAGTCTGTTCTCGAAGTTATTATTTATCAAATTCATTTTGAGATTTAACCTTTTTCATTATTGGTTAAGGTACTACTACCTGCCTACATCCATTTTTAATTAATCATATTTAATTTATCCAGATCATGATGTTAAACTTCGGTCAATCATTTTAACTAATATATATGTGAAATTTATAAATTTTATAATAATGTAATGATAGAATTTTTAACAAAGGCCATTTCATGTTGTAAATGTTTTTATATATAAAGGGAAAATGATCAAATACGGCTTTATACTATTACGGAATCGTCTCATAAGGCCATGTACTCAATAAAGTGGTCAGATAAATTTGTCTACTTATAAAAAGTAATCAGATGAGTCCTAACGACCCATTGGCAACCTGCTAATCCCGACTTTAACTTACGTGTCGTTATTTTTGCGTTGTATTGAAGTCAATTCTGACTAAATATTCCACGTCAAATCGGAATTATGAGGTTGTCAAAAGGTCGTTAGGACTCATCTGCATGGTTGCTTTTTATAATTAAGTAGACATATTTATATGACATTTTATTGAGTACACAACCTTATGTGACGATTCTGTAATAGTAGAAGACCTTATTTAAGTGTCATTGATTAGGAATTGAGTGTCATTGATCAGGAATAAAAAAATAATTAATTAAAAATGGCAGATAGAATATTTGATTATAGTCTTCGTCTAGGGCACCAAAACCCTCCAAGACGGCCCTGTATGGTACCCTTAAGGTACCATACCTTTGTCCACATGGATCAATCACAATGATGCAGTGATATTATATAAATCTAAATTAAAAGGATATAATGATTTGGACAAATCAAATGCATGGCAGGTACAATATCCTATTTTTAAATGGGTATCAGAGTTGTCATCTTTTCATATACATGCATGCACGAATGTAGGGAAAGGATAGAAATAATAATTACTTTTGTATTAAATAATTTAACTTATGAATCTTACTACTACGTATTTCATTCAGGTGTACATATGTTTGAAACGGATCATGCATGATACAAATACTTGAAATACTACACACTTGAGAAGAATAATTAAATTCCACACCTTTGTGGTACTAACCATTATCACGAAAATAAACGTGACATGAACACCTTGTCTAGGATTTTAGGAATTATATTCCCCTGGCTACAAATTGAGTAGAAGGATATGATCAGCACTATAGAAACAATTTGGTCATTAGTATCATTTTTAAGATGCAAGTTTACAAGAGGAAAGAAACGTGACATACATGATTTTTCTCGTAAAAATCAAGGGACATTTTGCTTAGAGAAACAATCCTTTCATATAATAGAGTATTCTTTTCTTCCATGAGATCCTGAAGCGGATAATTCCTTGTGCCAGGTAATCTTACCTACAAAATGACATTGAATGAAATACTAATACAGATTATTGTAAACAACTTGTGTGCAATGATATGATTTGAGTAACCAATCATTATTAGGTAATCATTGATGCCTACGTTCAATGCTGGATCATCAAAAAGACTCGAATAAGAAACATGACCATAGAAACCTCCGCTGTGATAGTTTTCACCATCCGTTTTCATTGGCTTTGTGATAAATTGACTTTGTACTCCCGCAATGATATCTTCGTGATTAGACTGCAATGAGACTGCATCTTCCATTGTTCTAACAATTCCACTTATCTACCCTATTACATGTAAGAAACAATTATTCCGTGTGAATGAGATGTTGCATCTATATACTAACACAAGTTGCGTTTATGCATAGAAGTACGTACTACGTAGTATTTGGTAAGTACTAATAAAGTGGTGACAATGAAGGAGACATCAAACGAAGATTTGAGCTCAATACGATGACAAACAAACTTTGAAATATACGAAGTATATACATATATACACACACGCCCAACTAGAATATAAGAATCGGAGATACGATTAAATTTGTATAAATCGGTGGAACATATTTTGCCCTCTAATAATGGCTTTCAGATCCGGATAAGTTTAAACGGGGAATAATTTTGGTTTGGAGATAATTGCAAAGGCCGAATGAAATACCTGGTTGGGTTGATAGATGCGCCGAAGAGAGGCACGGAGCCGAATGAAATCCAGGTTGGGCTTGTGTGGAATTCTATATGCTTCCAATTGTCAGGATTACAAATGATGGGAAAAACAGCCACAAATGGAACTAATAAAATGCGGAACTAATCTCCGTTTGACTAAACTTTCCCCAATTTGAACGAACTTTTGAGGATGCAAACAAATAGGGTGTTCTTAATGTAATTAGAACACACACAATATTGCTGCCACACACCAATATAATCAGCTAAAACAGTAAGCACACACCACACAAAACACCGAGATTTTAGTGTGGAAAACCCGTTAACTAAGGAAAAACCATGAGACCATTTTGGCCGCTTAAATCCACTATCATCATCAAAGGAGCAGTACAAAGTCTTCTCTAGATAATACTAGAGGCATACAAAATCATCATATCCTTGGAAGTAAGCACATCAAGGTGTATGGAATCAAAATAGAGCCAAGATAAGAAATATATCACCAGAAAAATAGCTACTGTCCAGACCAACGAAACCCAATCTCCAGACCTCAAAACCCGATCTCCACCGTCCAGAATGTTGGCCCAGATGCTGTGAAGCTCCTGTCCAAAAATTACGACGATCCAACGGTTCAATCTCTGGGAAAGGTAAGTTGTCTGCTGCTGCCTGCTGAAAAACGGGATGAGCACATTCAGCTCATGTTTTACGACATTTGCTCTCTATCCGCTGCTCTCTTTCTGTCCTTGTATTTGAGATAGTGGCTAACCCATATTTTTATTATTAGCTCCCAAAATAGAAACTCAAAAAGAAGACTTTTAATGGGCTCAAAGTTGGGCTTTCCTCATGGGTCAAAAAACAAAGAAAGAACCCAACAACAAATGCAATGAGCTGAGTATAACAAGGGGTTTCTGTAAGAAATTGGTCATTTAGAGAACAATTGAGCCATGTTCTTCCTTTTATGTTATCTTTATCCAATCAAAATATTAGCAAAAGTGATTTTCAAATCATTAAATTTATTCATAAAAGGGGTTTTGTGCATGACTAATTAAAACACAAGGGGTTGACGCATTTTTCAAATCACAGGGGACTAATGCGCTGAATTTCTATATCACGAGGGGGTTTGATGCATTAAACCCTCTTTATTTATGGAATGGTCTAAAAATCTATATTTTTTTCTATATTTTCTGTCTACCAATTTCACAATTTGTCTAAATTGGTTATATGAACCAATTTTTCTCCAAATGAGCAATTTGTTATAGGAACCCCTTTTTGTTATACTCAGCTCATTGCATTTATAATCCTGACAACCGCAAGCATATACCCTGTAATGTACCCGTAAAGTTTGTAACGGTTCAAAACGGTTCGATTCTAAAGATGGAACCATTCCGTATCATGTTGTTTCGGAACGGTACAAAAAGGTTCGATACAGTGCCAAACACAAGCTGAAATATTTGGACAAATCTTGCTATTAGTAGATATTATCACAGTATCACACCGGTCAATTCACATGAAATGTTGATAAAAATACAAGAAAGAGCATACTAAAAAAACTTCAAGAGGCTGGCATTTAAATTCACAAATACTCAAATAGTGCAACACAATTAAGTAAAAATATAGCAAAATGACGATACACTGGATAAATATCATCTTTATTAAATTCATGTGAACATATAAAAAGAATATGTTACATTGCTGAATAAAATAGATAAATTTAACGTTCTTTTTCTTTGTTCTAAGTTGAATATCTATTCTAATTTAATTCATAGTTGAACCATAAGAGCTAAGATATGAACCATATTAATTAAGCTTTAAAACTACACAAATATGATACAACAAAAAGTCATATACACTACATTACTAAAAATTATTAGTCATTAATGATTTTTAAAACATTGACATTCTTTCATTATATACCAAATATAACAAAAATTATCTAAAAGGAAGAAATAACAATATTTATATAAACACACACTTAGCAATTTTAGGGATGGATGAATATATATTATATATACTTGGGTTTTAAAATTGTTGGCCTATAGAAGATTCGGAATATTTATTAGTATGAAAAAATATGAAATCTCAAATGCATTATTTTTTAACAATTCGGTCTGGTAATTTTCGGTTCTCAAATCTTGGACTGGTGTTGTACCCGTTTGAAATGATACAGTTTTGATTTAGGATAAAATTCTATAAAACCGTTTATATACCCGATATTCGATTCGGTAGATGTTCGGTTCGGTTTTTATGTCCACCCCTAAATTCCAATTCCACACAAGTCCAAGGGCCCGTGAGGTATCACACAAATCGGCTTCTAAAATTTATGATGTTCTAGAAGTGACTGTATTGACTGTTTCTGACTTTCTGCTGATTTGTGGAAAAAATATTTAAAATATACATAGTATTTTATTAATAAAATAAAGAAAAAGTTATATGAAAAACAGAAAAAATAGATAAAATAGTCCTCTACAGTAACTTCACCCAATAAAAAGTAACCCAACCTTACTTTTTGTTATTATTATTACACAATTGAGGGTGCTAAACCAAAATGAAATTGAGTATAAGCCTGAAATTAACCTTAACACATCGATCATTCCAACCTGAATTTCATTCGGCTAAGTGCCTCCTCTTCGGCGCAGTTCCGCATCTATCAATCTAACCAGGTATCTCACCCATCTCGAATCTTAGCTTCTTCCACTTCCGGCCTTAGCAATTGTTTCCAAACAAAATTTATTCCCTGTTTAAACTATTTTCAGGATCTGAAAACAATTATTAAAACGTAAAATATCATCCACCAATTTATACAAATTTTATCGTATCTCCGATGTTCAGAATTTAGTTGTGTGTGTATGCATATACTACGTATTTCAAATCTTCCCGTTTTTATGATTATACAAATAGTATTAAGATAATCCATATGCATGTTTGCTTAATTAAGCACAAATAATTTCGCCTAACGTTGTTAACTGTGCTTGCCTGTCAAAAATATATACATGTGTGTCAGTGTGTATATGCGCGTGAGTATTACTCCCTCCGTCCCTTAAAACTTTGTCTAAGTTTAATCGCCACGAGAATTAATAAAATAAAAACTGTGTGGTTGAGATTGGATCCGGAGCCTCTGCCTTGCTTTAGAGCAAGGTAGAGTGTCTTACTTCGGGACAGCCGTCCGATCGGTAATTCAACGGCCGTAGATCTTGGAATCCACATTTTCGCTAATCTCGAGGCCGTCCTCGTAGCTGCCTGACCATCCGATGCGCAAGACACCCTCCTAGTCGGGCAGAGGATCCCAATCCGTTGAGATTTGTGCAAAGGAGAGAGAATTAACTGGAACCACAAATTCTTTACGGGAAAATGACAAAATTAATGGGACATTCAAAAAAGGAAAGTGACAAAGTTTTAAGGAAAGGAGGTAGTATGTATTTGTATACATCTGTCGTAATATGTATTTATAACTTCTACAAATACACATGCAATTATATTATTTTCGTTGTTCAAATAACAATCACTGTTATAAATTAACTTGGAGCATTTTTGTGCAGTTACACTATTTGGAATGTGTTTTTAATTCAATTGAAATTGCTCCAATTATAATGAGTTTACCTACACGGCTACACTCATAAACATTCACTTTTAAAAATATAATGTGAAACCAGTAAGTGCCTATCTAAAGTCTGCATCTTGGAATTCTTCTAGATTGTCACGATAAAGTGTCCATCAAATCCAATCATGGTTAAAATTAATCAGTGGAATAGATACAAGTGAAAATACATCTATACATAAACCAAGTGGTGTTAGTATATAGATCAGACACCATATCATTCACATGGAATATTTTCTTTCTACATGTAAGGGTGTAGGTAAGTGGAATCGTGAGAACAATGGAAGATGCAGTCTCATTGCTTGTCTCCTCTCAGTCTACGTGGATCTCGAAGAGAAGGTCTACGGAGGAGACTAATCAGGATGATATTATTGTGGATGTTACAAAATCTATTTATCTCAAATTCAATGAAAATGGATGGCAAAAACTATGACGGTGGAGGTGGCTGTAATGGTGTTTCTGGTTCGCCTTTTGTTTAATAGGATAATACCCAGTGTAGGCATCAATGATTACCTAATAATGGATTGGTTACCCAAATCATAGCATTGCACACAAGTTCACAATAATCTGAATCCATTATTTAATTTGATTTCATTTTGTAGGGAAGATGTTGCCGTGTAACGAAATACCCGCTTCCAGATCTCATGGAAGCAAAGAATATTGCGTTATATGAAAGGATTGTTGCTCTCAGCAAAAATGTCTCTTTCTTTTTACGAGAAGAATCATGTATGCTCCATATCATTGCTTGCTTTCCTCTCGTAAAACTTACATCTTAGATACGATAGCAATGACCAAATCATTTTACTACTGCCGATCATATCCTTCTACTCCATTGTAGCCAGGAGAGTCATATGAGTTTGACAGTCTCAAGCATGTGAAGAGTGCACCCATTCTTGGCATAACATATTTCATCACGTTTTTAGCAAAAAAAATTGGGGGCAGATGGTAGTCCCTTCAGGAATGTTTAAAGTCCCGAGTAAACGAGCCTAGGAGCAGTGTCAATGTGCAGAAATGTGAGCTGATAAATTAGCTTGGGTATTGCTCTCGATTATGTTAATTATATTCTGTTTATGTAGTATTATTCACGTTTTAATGGTTGCTAATAGTAGAAATATCCATGGGCCACTTCGAAGTGAAGAAATGTGACCGGGTTAAACTGGCTTGGGTATTGCTTTGGGCCTTTGACTTCTATTAATGGATGTCATACCTGTTTATGGATATTGAATTATGTTTCAATAGTTGCCTGATGATAAAGTTGTTACTGTTGTGTAGCCTGTGCATATAAGTTGATCGATCGACACTTGTAGTTTAATAAAACTTTTATTTACTCTTCCTGCATGCTTCTTTTGCTTGTTAGTTGTTCATATCTAACACTCAACAATATCAATTTTTGAAAGTAAAAACATTCATGTTGAGTTCTGCACCAAAATGCATGATCGAGTCAACTTTATAACATGAGTTTTAATTGCAAGAGAAAGTGATCCCTAATTTTTATTGATGAATAAGATGGTTTGGAGTAGTGGTTTTGGAAAGTAAAAATGAAATGATATGTAATTGCTAGACTAAAGTACCTTTCACTATCTAAAAGCAAAAGATTGGATGGTTACCAAAGCCACACACCTACCCTCAAACCTAAAAATATAAACCAGCCGCACAAACTACCTATAGCTTAGTCTGTAGCAGCGAAATTAGTTTTTTCATAAAAACAGCGTAAAGCTTAATGGCCAGGGAGCTAAATGCATAAAAAACACAAACCTTAACTTGAAGTCCGTCTACAAATTTTAGGCTTACAATAGTGCGAAATTAGAAATCAACTCCAGATGAAAAACATCTGGACGGCTATGATTTTTCCTTATAAAATTAGGTATAAGGTCTTTCTTTTTCGCGACTTTGCATATTTTTATGTCCTCTTTCATGATGAAAGAAAGTTTAAAAGTGTATTCTTTGATTGATATATAAATGTTAACATTCCCCAATTAAATAATAAAAGTAATCAGATCAATACGCAATATACATATTTTTCGGTGAAAATGCATTGGGCACTAATGCATTGGGCGCATCGCGCGTGTGAAAACTAGTCTAGTTATAAGTCTAAAAGTCATATTTTACATCTTTTCTAGACTCTATGATTTTGTTGCACTATAAAGTTGAACGTTTTGCCCAATTTCAAGCATGAAACTCAAAAGTG